ACCTTTTGATCCGGGCTTTTCGATTCTGTTTTATGCTTTACAGGTTGGTTTGAAAACCTACAGATCGGTCATCCGCGCGACCATCACAGCAAATTCTACGGACCTCTTTCGAGTTGATCAGATGATAGAACTAGGGAATATAGCTCGTCATAATCTTAAGAGCAATGAACAGCATAAGAATCATGAATCTTTTAGAGCTATACTACGAGACTGCACCTTGACGTTGTGTGATGACTCAACGAGCTATACCGAGTGGCTTTTTTCAAGCCGATGATTTAATCATGCCTGACTAATCAAAAGATAGGTAACGGACGAAGTTCATTCTCTTGGTTGTCTGGGTTGGGTTTCGATTATAATTCGCGTTACAGTTATGGTCAGAATTAAAGACTGATTGAGAACCCTAATCGCTCTGCTTGGCTGGACACCCTAGAAGTACCCGTCCATCAAACCCTATTTCATATGCATTGCGAGTTTGGCAGCGGCCAGTAAAGTACGCTCCTCTGTATTTCGCTGTACTATGATGAATGCATATGCAATGGGGGTTTGATGAACGGGTATTGCTAGTGTGCCCTGCCACTAAGAAGAAAACGATTAGGATTCTCAACCAAAGACTTCAGTTATGACAAGAACCTAACCACAAGGCAGCGGGTGAAGCGAAGTGGAGGCTCATTCACTTGGATCAATTACTCAACCATTTTTTATTGACTGAAACGCAAATTCTAGTCTAACACCCAACCTGGAGGACCAGGAGACTGGACTTCGTCCAACATCTACCCTTCGACCTTCCAGGCATGATTAGATCTTCGGCTTGACGAAAGTCATCCTGTGTAGCTCGTTGAGTCGGAGAGGTGCACAAGCCATCACAGCACGTCAAGGTGCACTCGTCGACGACGAACCTCGTCATTGCTCCTCCCCCAGACACGAGCAATGCTTCGGAGACATCGGTGATCGAATGCTGAAAGTCGGTTAGCATCCTCAACGTGAAGGGGCCAGGTCTCGCGACCGTAAAGTAGAACTCTACGAACCGCGACAATGTACCCCTTTTCGTTAAGAGACAGTCGGATACCATGGCGCCACAGGTTGGAGAAAGCTGCTCTAGCTCTTGCTATTCGTGAAATAATCTCCCCAACACCATCATCAGAAGCGATTAAGCTCTCAACCGCTCCCAGCTGATCACGGCAGATGGTGAGTACAGGCACAACCTCCTGCCAGTCTTGAACCAGCACTTAGCACTTTGATGGTGCAAAGCACATACCATATCTGAATACCTCGATAGGCAAGCGGTTCAAGGCGTCTTGGACTGCCTGTGTGTTGTCACCCAACGAGGCGATGCCAAGGGCTCTGTTCCCCGGGAGGAGTTCGACTCCACCGTTTGTTAGATCGGATAAGGTATTCTGTAGAACATCCTCTATGACAAAGTTGAAAAGGAATGGATGTGGGGCAGCTTTGTCGAACTCCATTGGAGACGGCGAAGAGTGGCGAAAGCTGGCCATAGGCCCTAACCCGACCCGAAGTATGACGATGGTCGACACACTTCTAAGGTACTCAATTCTTCAACAAACAGCTCCATATCGACAGAGTCGAAGGCCAAACGGATGTCTAAGAATCCAATGATTGTTGGTCTTTGATAAGCATGACGGTGCTCTAGCAGCTGTCGGAGGGTGAAGATTTGATCAATACGTCCACGACCGGCGCGAAACCAGGCCTGCTCCTTGCGGGTCTAGTGTAAAGTTTGCTTCAGGTATCCCTGGGACTGAAAATGGGAAGTGTTCACAATAATTCGAGGAGAGTGCGTTGCTGAACCTCACGGTTTTGAAGGCAATAAGGTCTAGCTCGTTGTTTCGATAGGTCTTCAACGCATGTTTCTGGTTCACAAAGAAGTTCCACCGGGTCGGACAGAACTGTGTGAGAATCTGAGGGGTATGGTATGTCATCAGGTGGGGCGGATTCCGCGCAAGATTCTGAAATAAGGGGTAGGTAGCGAAGAAGTTGGTCGTTCTACGGGAGCAAGATGACGAGGAGATACTGCTTCTCATCCATTAGGGAAGCGTATATGAGCGTATTCGGGGTTTCTCTCCAGTAATAACTTCTGTCATAGGGCCATACTTGGAGGAGCGGATGTTTCTTCCATATAGCATGGGACCAAGTGTTAATAACCACTGGGGCATACTGGTACCAATCGCAGATTTTAGATTATAGAGAAACACGTTCGTGGGGGTGTCGCGTTGATAGTAGTACAAAGTAATGATCTGATAGCATAGAGAGCATCAGGTAACACCAACTCCCATTGGTCAGCCGCCAGATCCTTTGAAGGGATACCGTTTTCCATGTTTCCACTCAACCTGACCATTACCTTGGGGGTTGTAGCTCGTCGTCCTGCTAGTGTCTAATCCTCAGTTGTGAAGGAACCTCTTCAATTCCTGAGATCTGAACTAGGCTCTTAGATTCGAGTGTGGATAGTGCGACAGGCCAAATACGGATAACAACTCAGTTAAACGAAAAAAATTATGGCGCGATCAGTCATGTCGGGACAGGGGAGGGCAAACGGAATACTTATCAATAATTGTCAAAATGTAGTGATTTCGAGTGGAAAAGGGAATCGGTCCTTTGAAATCAATGCTGAGGAGTTCAAAAGATTGTGTAGCAAGGGGACTATTGTCTGGTCTGTGAAGCTTGGGTTTAAGACGTGCACAAACAGAACGTTGTGAAGTTATCACCTTAACATTATCGAGAGAAAAGGGTAAGTTTTTTGTGTGGACAAAATGGTACGGACGCGTGATACCGGGGTGGCACAGGCTGTCGTAAACTCGCTTCACTTCATCGATTAAGTGAGTGCTTGCACGGAATGCTCGTCATAAAGCGTCGGCTGCAGGATTCTCTGAACCTGGACGATATATCAGTTGGATACGCCAGCGTCGTATTTTGTCGTTCTTGATTTTGCTGCTGATTTTCATATCGTACATGAAGACGACAGAGCGTTGATCAGTAACCAATTTGGAGTGGGCACCCAGTAGGTGGTGCTGCCACTTCCGAATGGCTTCACTTATTGCGTAGGCTTCTTTTTCTACAGCAGAATAATTTCGCTCTGAGGGTGACGGTACGCGAAAAAAAGCCACGGGACGACCACTTTGATTAAGTGTAGCAGAGATTACTATGTCGGAGGAATCGGTTTCGACCACTAATGGTATCTTTATCGACTGCAACCAGTGATGCTCGAATTAGCTTGAATTTCAATGAGCCACAAGAGGAGAGTACTTCATCAGGAAGAGGGAAGATTTTGTTAGTGATTAGCTGGCGAATCTTTTCCAAAAAATGGTAAAACCACTGGAAACATTCCCACAACTCTGTTGTGCTTCATATTCGTGGAAGGGGGTAGTTTGAGAACATCGAGGCGTTCATGGTCCGGCTTGAGGCATCCTTTGAGTATTTCGTAACCCAGCAGTCGAACTATTTCAGAAGTGAATACACTTGTTGTGATTTAGAGTTAAGCCATGTTTGGCAGCTGCGTGCGGGAACCGCTTCAGATTGATGTGGTCCGTGATTTCTTTCCCATAGACAGTAATGTCTACATATACAAAGGTTCCTTTGAGCTCCACGTCGAACAAGCTCATTCATAGTGCGTTGAAAATAGGCGACGCCGTTGGCTACTCCAAACGGTACGCGGTAAAATTGGTAAAGGTTATTGCATGCTTCGAAAGCTGTATACTGTCGTTCATTTTCCTTAATGGGTATTTGGTGGTACTCACTCTTCAAGTCTAAGGTACTGTAAATGCTGTATTCGGCAATTTTCCCCATCGAGTCATCAATGCGGGGTAGTCTCCAAAGTGAAAAGACGAAGAGCCAATGTCCGGGGTCGGTGAATCATTAGCAGTTCACCTGAGAGGATTGGCTGTTTCTAAACAAAGAAGGGGCACACTAACCACACCCTCACCTTCCTGGTCGTGATAATAATCACGGACTCAGTTGGGTATCGAAGTCTATTGGGTACCTTAGACGTTTGACCCCGTCCAAAGGGCGTATGATCCGATGAACTGGACACTGACCCCCAACGGATTGCGGTTTCCTCTCACCGACCCGCTGCCTTGCTTTACTTTATTGCGGCTGGCTCCTTGGAAAGGACAAGCCGGCTCCAGACAAGATCATGAAGTTCCTTGGGATAATGGTACGAGAGACGTCACGGTATTCTTTATTTTGAAGGTGCACCTCTAGACTTTGCACAACCAAGTGCGAACTGCACCGCAACAGGAAGTAATCCCTCCCCTCGGAAGTGAGGAGGTCAAAGACTTTAGTTTTAAAATGCCGGTCACATCGACCTTTGTCACGATACTGTCATTGGGCTCTTAAACAGGAGCCAGGTGACCAGTCTGAAAACCGCCACACCATGGTAGTGCCACCGCTGTTTGTTCGCGACTGCTTATTTGTTACGATGTGCTACAACTTTTTCACAGCTAACCTTTGGAGAAGGTATCCCTCTATCCACAGCACGGTGACGCGCCTGGTAGCATTCAGCTCTGCTTAACCCGAGGGTATCCAGATGCTACCTTGCTGGTCAGAATTTGGCTAGCCGAAGGTTCCGGTTGTGAACCTCCTTGGAAAATACACCTGCTTTGGCATGGGCAACCTAGCAGTGTCGTGGACTTTTTTCTTATTGTACAGTGATTTGTTTGTCATAATCTTAAGTATGTGTACAGCAAGAAAGAAAGAAAAACGGCATCATCCTGCGTGACTATATGAGACAATCATTGGGTATATCTACATTACACTATGAGATCATCAAAGTGGAAAAGCGTTTGGCACGAGAAAAAATCTTCGGGGTTTAGCCTTAACAGTTGAGTGTTTTCCGGAGGTCATTGAAGGATTTCGTTATCCTAAATAAACTGTTTGTGTTACTTATGTAGCTGGCTTTCTTAGTTATAGTTTGATTGTTGGTGTTCCAATCACAACTTGAACCCCTTTTTACTGGATTCTTTCAGATACCTCAGTTACTAGGCGTCTATCCGATGTCCTCACCACTCTCGGAAGATTCATATGCCCACGGAGATGTGGACACTGACGATGGTATTTTGAATTACTGTTTAACCGTTTTTAACTATCCAGTCGATAAAGACAACTTGGAGACATACGATGAGGTTGCGGTAGAGGAAAACACATCTTGTGAACAGGAAGTTGAGGATCTTCACCAATCAACAGAGACGACAGTGTCCGAAACCGGTGCACTGCCCTTATCTGATTCAGTTGCAACCGAGCGCAGTGATAGCTGCAATAATGATGAACACTGTGCGCAACAGGATCTCCAATCTTTGAATCACGTTGAAGAGCCAGATGACATCAACACTGTGCCTCGCTCCGACGGAGGCGGAGATGCCAATGCAAATAACCAAGAAGAAAACACGCACATAACGGACGAATTTGATCGAAGTGCTATACATCAAGACATGTCAGATGATGTTGATCCATTTGAGGAACGATGCGAACCTGTGGAAACTACCGGACAACAAAAAGTAGCCATATCTCCTATTGAGTGGGATCGAATTTCTGATGACGAAAGTGAAAACCGAGATGAATTGCACGTAGATGCTCCAAGCGACGAGTTTTACAGGGAGGAAGAAGACCAAAAGCAATCTCGGAGCGTTGCTGCCTCTTCGCATTCACCTGAAAAAGTGGTAGAGACAGATGTTAAGTCACCGCTACCTATTCCTAAGGGGATATTCAAGTCAGCCTGTTATTTCATGATAAAAAGCAACAACTTTGAAAATGTGGACATGGCCAAAATGCGAAACGTCTGGTCAACTACTAAGGGAAATGAGTCAAGACTAAACAAAGCATTCTTTGATTTCGAAAATGTCTTGTTGATTTTCTCAGTCAGAGAGAGCGGAAAATTTCAAGGTTTCGCTCGTATCTGCGCCTCTTCAGATCCCCGCATACGTGTAAATTGGGTTCTTCCTCCAAGAATGAGCACCTCTCTACTCAGCAGTCCTTTTCGCATCGAATGGATTTCAAAGTATTTTATGTATTTACCACTTACCTTTGCTTTAGGCGCGAGCTACCGTTTTCAAAAACCGGTCACCTTACAAATCCTTGGAATGACAATAAGCCTGTAAAGATAGGCAGAGACGGACAGGTACGTGTGCCTTTTCTTATGATGCTTTTCTTTAGGAAATCGAAGGTTCCGTTGGAGAGGCATTGTGTCGTCTTTTCTTTGACGATTCCTTGGAAGATTCCAGTACGAAACAACAACCTCGCACAACGACCGAAGAATCTCGTCGCAACCCATTCGAGCGATTGGGACGACCGATTTCTCGCCTTGGTCAAAACGGGAACGTCACTGGCAGTGGTGGTTCACGACAATCTAGTTCCGTCGGCCTCCTTGGTGATGCTTCAGGAACTGGACGTTATTCGGGAGGCGAGAGGTGTAACGTGCTTGGATTTACCGGCCTATCCACACTGCCTTCTGGCGGAGCTCCACCACCACTGATGCAAGTCAACGCCGCTGCGGCCGCAATGGCAGCTGCAGCGGCTATGGCAGCTATTAAATCGTCAGGTGCCTCGAACCTTGGTAATCTTGGACGAACCGGATCTTCAGCTTTAACTTCAACTATCAATAACACCTTACGATTGCCTTCTCAACCGGCAATCCCAGGTCTGCTTTCACATCTTTCCATGTCAAACAATGCATTCACACGCCTAACCTCTGGGGGTTCCGGGATTCAAACGGGAGGGATCTTACCTCTTCTGCAGCAACAGCCTGTTCGTCTGTCCGGTCCTACATCCGGTACTCCCATGAGTGCTACTCTGTCACAAGGGTTAGAGCAAAGCCGGACGCTGCCGCACAGCCTGTTGGGTGGCTCTTCGCGTTCCGGACTTGCCACGGCACATGGACTCCCTGGACTTGATGCACCCGTTGACAAAAGAAGCGGTCGTCGAAGCCGTTCACGTTCCAGTACTGGAAGCAGTCCCAATAGTTACGCACGCATTCGCAACTTGAGACATCGACGGGCTGCAGATAATTTTGGTCGAGATGATCTGCCTTCACCAACTGCAGATCCCCGTCGTTATCATTCACCGAGGTTAGGCGTTGTTGGAAGGACAGATCCACCATCCCAGTTTCCCACTGTTAAATTTGATGAACTTCGCCGGTATTCCTGCCGATTTCTAGTTTCCGTGCGATGACTTTTGCATTTAAATTTGCTTAATGCACACATAGTAGAATGTTTGTGGCCGTCCAATTGAACATTAGTCACAGTCATTACCCAACGAAGTCTGCTGGTGATCCCATGACTTTGACTGGACTTTGTGACTTTTGATTTGGTATTGGTTTATTTTTTCCCATCGGACATTTTAGTAATCATTTTAGGTTACACTCACCCTCAACAAAAAGCATAATCACACATTCTGCGTTTAGTTCAGTCCGTGTGTCTGTCAGTTTCAGAACCCTTTACCTATGCATTTACCCCCTTGTTTGCGTCACTAACTTGGAATGTCTTTGCATTTTTACACCGGTTTTCTCATATCTGCCCTGTCCAATTGTAAGTTGTTTACCGTAACCGTAATTCAGTTTCAGCCCGAGCCTATCTCTTTCAGGTAATCATTAGCCGAGTAACGCTCTGATTGGTACGCATGAAATATTTTCGTCCACTAACCCTGATTTCCTTATCTCACCATTCAAAACTGCCGGGAATCTGCCACGTCTTGCCTCCAATTTCGCGGCCTCTAGACGTCGAAGGGACGAAAGCCGTCGATGCGACTATGAAAGTGAGTTATTTTTAAAAGATACACATCCACAATAAACAAAATATTTACGAACGCGAAATCTGCCTTATGTCCATTTGCCCATTGGTACGTGGCGGTCAAGTGGTGTAAGTCACTGGGCTTTGGGCCCTAGAGTATGGGATTCGAATGCCACTTCGACCACCCGACTTTGGGTGATAAGCTTCTTCGATGTCACATTTATGCTAATCGGACTTAGGTGGTTCACCACTCCAAGTCCGGGACTAGGGTTTTTGATTCTTATGGGCGAGCAGTAGATCCTCGTGAACAGAACTGACGTCCTTCACTGATTATCTTGCAATGGTGCGTAATAAAAAATGCCACCAGTTTAACCGTGGTCACAATGGCAGGGCTACGGTTCCTAAGATTTTTTTGTTACACCTAGGTATGATGGACAGCAGACGGGGGAAGCCCCATAGTCATGAGGACCTGCTGTTCAGTAATTGAAATCGGCAACCTAAGCCCCGGGATTTGGAGTGGCGAACCACACACGGCCCCGATAGGTTAGGCGTGGTATTGAACCGGACGACAGCAGAGCTGCCTGCCACCAAAGTCGGTGGCGGTGGCGGGGCTTGGATCTTAGGGTCCAAAGGACGCCGGTGACAGCAACTAAACCACTGCGCCACCACCATCTGTGAAGATCACTATAAACTTTTACATCCGGTTATTCTTGACTAAAAATTACCATCGTTTTCCAGCATGTTCGATAGTTTGACTAGTAGGGGTCTGTAAACCGGTCAGTTCCTATGCGCACAAATGTTATCAGGCGACCACAATAAAATCAATTGTTGAATGTCTGAACTGTGAAACAAACTGCACAATTTAGTTCATCAATAAATCCATTACACGAAAATACAAGTTCGTGAAGACTGGAAATCATCAGTTCTACTCAGTAATACCTGACCTCGTGTTTTACTACTCCAACGGTCTATGGAAGAAAAACAGTGAACACCGCGATAGTATGTTTGCACCCCCACGTTTTATCTGTTATCATTCAGGTTGAACTGAAAGATTTTTCTCCGCCATTTTAAACTTGATTCTGACTATTCCGTGCCTTGGCAAATACCTTTCCCGCTACTTTTGGATTGCGTCGCTCTTAACTAGCACGTTATGCTCATTTGAGCACAAATTGTTTACCACTCCTAGCCTCATGTCGTACCTCGTTGATGAACTGGACAAAGCGAGGTACTTTTGGTTACTCTACGGTTGAGTGCACTCCTCAGATGTACTACAGGGTTTTAAGGTCATCGTATTCACACTTTCAGTTTAGTAAGGCTCTTCCACTAACTAAACCACTTGTTCGAAACCGACAGTAACGCTCTTCAAGGGCGCCGGGTTNAGAATTATCATATTACGCACGCGTCTTGGTCCACGCTGCATCACCGTGGTGGTGGCTCAGTGATTTATTCGCTGTCACCGGCGTCCTTTGGACCTTGTGGTTCGAGTCCCATCACCACCACCCAACTTTGGTGGTAGACAGCTCTACAGTCGTCCGGTTTAATACCACGCCTAACCTATCGGGGCCTTGTGTGGTTCGCCACTCCAAGTCCCGGAGCTTAGATTGCCGGTTTCCACCACGGAACAGCAAGCTTTCGTAACTATGAGGTTCGCCCCGTCTGCTGTTCACACACTGGGGTGTAATTTTAAAAAATCTCTGTGCAACAATCTTTATAACAAGGAAATCTAAATATCATTTACATGTTAGTGGAGTACTGCCATGTTGTCCAAGTTCAAGCAGCTGAATTCACAACCAGAGTTTTTGGCTAGCCAAGCCTGATCTACAAGGCAATGAGGCGGTGTTAGAACCGCAATTCGTTGAGAGCTAATGTTCAGCTCATCGGGTCATACGTCCTCTGGACAAGGTGGAACACCCAAGCCACTCAATGACCGCTGCCAGAACCGGGGAAATGTGGATGTGGTTCGCACATCTCTTCTTGATCGGATTGGAATCAAGTTTCTTTTAGCCATTCCCATCTCCCAGGTAAACTGCCAGTGGTTCACCGACCCGGATATTGTCTTTTTTCTCTTACTGTGGTGAAAAACAACGTAAAACCAATGGGTATGACTTCCACAACAGAAGCTGTTTGATTCACTCCCTCGCACAGGAGCATTTTGCGAGGTTCATTGGAAGGGTTACTAGTCACAACCGTACCCACCCCAGCCATACTGAGGCTTTTGTTTTAGACTTTGGAAGCTAGTGTTATCTTTAGCAGGATCTGAGATTTCGAATAGCCTGATCATTTCGTTTGTCAGTTTGAACATCTGGAGCATGAGCATACATTTGACCATTTTGTGTTAACTACGGCTCCGCTGCGATAGTTCAGTTCCGACCGTTCACTTATTTTTCGTGCACTTCAGTGTGTTTTGACAATTTATCTATTCAACCAAGAGGAGAATGATGAGCAGAAAACTGGAGTCGCAAGCATGAAGGACGTTTGATTTGAGACGATTTAGATGCTAAGTGGGATAGTGTCAACTCGAAAGTACCACTGCCTGTGGCATTCAGTATCATTATTTTGTATGGGTTTATCTCACTGAGGCTTCAATCGGAAGCCCAACAGTTGCATGGCCGATATACCCATCAAGGTTTTTTATAATCTGACTATGTAGCAGTCTGATCCATCTTGAATTTCTTTCAACTACTTTCCTTGGCAAGCAATGTATACCGTGAGATCCGGTTTTACGACATACTTTACACTAGTTCTCCACCTCAGTTCATAATCCGATACCACTTACCCAGCACTACTTGTAACCCCCTCTATTGCTCATTTTGTCGTATCATACTGGAGCAATGCTGCATTAGCAGAAGGCCGAATGTCTATCGTAACCCAAATATTATGTCTTGTGTGATCAGCACACTGGAATCCTCATATGAGTGGACACTGCAATGGTGTGAAATGTTTCAATTCGGTAGAATTCAAATAATTCTTTCCTAAATCCGTCCGCCAAGCGGGGTATGTATCCAATTGGCGACGTTCCTTTACTGTATGTATCGCAGTTGAGTGAGATTTAAAGTATGATTAACTCAGTCCTGTTACCGCGTTTTGCAATTTAAAGGTGCAAAATATAGCTCCCTACATACAGTACCTCAAAAGCTATCAAGGAAAGCTTAGACCGTACTTTGATCTCCGTTCAGCAATGCAGTGTCTGCATACTCTAAATCGGACAATGTTCTTCATGAAGGCGGTTCGATACAACTATCACAAAAAGTTCTACTGTGAAATACTATATAGAACTAAGATATGTCAGGATGGAAACCTTGACAAGCATTGTTTTTGTGATAAACCTGACTTGAGTTCGGCCTCGCCTATTGATGTATCATAGACGCACGAAAAAAGCTTCAATCCATTGTAGAATGCATAGTACTTGTGCAAAACGGAATTTCGATCCGTACTACCATAAAGCTCGGCGGCGATAAATAAACTGGTTAAGTTTGGCATATGTTACTAGTGGTAATCCAATATTTCAGGTCGCTATCACTGGTGCTCAGCAGTTCGCAGGATCTGAGATTCAATTCCCGTTACATTTTGTTGTAGTCGGCTTTAGTGTCATAACGTACCATGTTGCGACTATCGTATTAAAACGTTATGGATTTCACCACCCCAGATGCCTTATCCTAGCTTGCCGGTCCCCAGCCCAATAGCTGGTTGTCATGACTGAAGTTCACTCCGTTTACGGTACTTCATAACTAGGTGTGCTGTTAGGAATCGAAGCGAAAGAAGTAACTACATCCATATGTAAGGATGAAACAATGTATACTATATATGATCACTTGAAGTGTCAGCCAGTTGATAACACAAAAGTCAAATATTGATTGCTTTTCGGTAATATTTACTGAGATCTTGTATGCACGAACCAAAACAAGAGCAGCACATGTTTAGACAACCATCCACCGTATTGTGCCTGGGATACGAGTGTTTTTCCACTATATATATATATATATATATATATATATATATATATATATATATATATATATATATATA